CTCTCCTCTCCTCTCCTCTCTTCTCCTCCTCCCCTCCTCCCCCTCCTCCCCCTCCTCCCTCCTCCCTGCGTATCCCCCGCCCAGTGCAGCGTTTCGTGGCCCCGTAGGGAACCCCACCGAAGGTTCCAGTGGGACCGCCCGCATGCGTCCCGCACACCCAGTACAGCGTTTCGTGGCCCCCTCCTCTCTCCTCAATGCGTTTCACCCACCCAGTACAAGGTTTCGTGGCCCCATAGGGAGCTCCACTGAAGGTCCCATTGGGACCGCCCGCATGCGTCCCGCATGCCCAGTACAGCGTTTCCCCTCTCCTCCCTCCTCACCGCGTTTCACCCACCCAGTACAGCGTTTCGTGGCCCCATGGGGAGCTTCACCGAAGGATCCAGTGGGACCGCCCGCATGCGTATTGAAAACCCGGTCGAAAACCCAATTTGTTTTTTTTTTCACCCACCCAGTACAGCGCTTCGTGGCCCCACAGGGAGCTCCACCGAAGCCCCCAGTGGGACCGCCCGCATGCGTCCCACAAACTCAAGTTGGCATTTTCGCACACCCAGTACAGCGCTGCGAAGCCCCGTAAAGAGTTCCACCGAAGCCCCCAGTGGGACCGCCCGCATGCGTCCCCCCCCCCCCCCACACACACACCCAATTTGGCATTTTCATTGGCCCAGTACAGCTCTTCGTGGCCCCATAGGGAGCTCCACCGAAGGCCCCAGTGGGACCGTCCGCGTGCGTCCCGAACACCTAGTTTGGCATTTTCACACACCAAGTGCCGCGTTTCGTGGCCCCATAGGGAGCTTCACCGAAGCCCCCAGTGGGACCGCCCGCATGAGCCCCACACGCCCGATGTGGCATTTTGCCCCCCACTCAGTGCACTGTTTCGTGGCCACATGAAGAGTTCCACCGAAGCCCCCAGTGGGACCGTCCGCATGCGTACCGCAAGCCGAATGTGGCATTTTTCACCCACCCAGTACAGCGCTTCGTGGCCCCACAAAGGGTTCCACCGAAGCCCCCCGTGGGACTGTCCGCGTGCGTACCGCAAGCCGAATGTGGCATTTTTCACCCACCCAGTACAGCGTTTCCTGGCCCCATAAAAGAGTTCCACCGAAGCCCCCAGTGGGACCGTCCGCATGCGTCCCGCAAGCCGCATGTGGCATTTTTCACCCACCGGGTACAGCGTTTCGTGGCCCCATAACGAGTTCAAACGAAGCCCCCAGTTGGACCGTCCGCGCATGCGTCCCGCAAGCCGCATGTGGCATTTTTCACCCACCGGGTACAGCGTTTCGTGGCCCCATAACGAGTTCAAACGAAGCCCCCAGTTGGACCGTCCGCGTGCGTCCCGCAAACCGAATTTGGCATTTTTTCACCCACCCAGTACAGCGTTTCGTGGCCCCATAAAGAGCTCCACCGACGGCCCCACTGCTACCGCCCGCATGCGTTCCCCCCCACACAGTGCAACGCTTCGTGGCCCATAAGAACGTCACCGAAGAAGCTGTTCACAATTGCGGTACCCACAACTGCATATGGTTGGGTCGTTCGCCTGGATTTTTGTTGTTTCGGTGCGTGCTTCTTTTGCTGTGGTGTGTGTGTGTCTCCTGGACGAAGATCTTCGTGCAGTGAGTGCCCTCCCTCTTTCTCCCAGCTCTGCGGCCGCCCTCCGCCTCCTGCCCCCCATTTCCTAGCTGGACAATGAAGGCGCCCGCTCACAGCCAGGCCGAGCGCGCGTGCGGATCCCGCCTGCCGCGCTGCGGCGAAAAAAAGGGCAGAGTACTCGCTGGAGGCCCCCGCAGGCATGGGGGGTCCTCCTGGGCGGGCCGCCGCGGAGGGCGCACGAGACACTCCAGACATTTCGCTGTATGGGCGTTGCAGCTCGAATAAGAACAGTATTCTTACTACAACTAGTATTCGTGTGTATATATACATATATATATATATAGATATATATATGTTTTCTGTTAGTACTACTATTGTCATTCCAATTGCCATTTTTATTATCATTATGATTATGATTTCTCCGTTACTACTACCACCACTATTACAACAACAGCTACTACTACCAGTACTGCTACTCGTACTAAGACTACTACTACTACTACCACTACTACTACTACTACTACTACTAGTACTAGTACTAGTACTATTATCATTACTAATACTACCATTACTACTACTACTGCTACTACTACTACTACTACTACTACCACTACTACTACTACTACTATAACAACTGCTACTGCTACTACTACTACTACTACCACTGCTGCTACTACTACTACTACCAATACCACTGCCACTACTACTACTACTACCACCACTACTACTACCACCACTACTATCTACTACTACTACTTCTGCGACTACTACTACTACTACTACTACTATTACTACTACTAGTACCACTTGTAGTACTACTAGTACTATTAGTGCTACTACCGCGACCACGACTACTACGACGACGGCTACTACTACTACTACTACTACTACTATGATTACTACTACTACTACTACTACGCGTACTACTACTACTACTACTACTACTACTACTACTACGCTTACAAGTACTATTATTACTAGTATTAGTATCCTTACTTCGACTACTACTACTACTACTACTACTACTACTTACTACTACTACTACTACTACTAGTACTACTACTACTACTACTACCACCACCTACCACTATTACTACTACTGCTACTCTACTTCTAATTCATTTCTACTTCTGCTACTACTACTAATACTACTACTACTACTACTACTACTACTACTACTACTACTACTACTACTACTACTACTACTACTACTACTACTACTACTACTACTACTACTACTACTACTACTACTACTACTACTACTACTACTACTACTACTACTACTACTACTACTACTACTACTACTACTACTACTACTACTACTACTACTACTACTACTACCACTGCCACTGCCACTGCCACTGCCACTACCACTACCACTACCACTACCACTACCACTACCACTACCACTACCACTACCACCTCCACCACCACATACCGACGACGCCTACGGCGAACCAGCGCCGCCCCCTGCCTTTTTGGAAGCGCCTGCGTGGCCGAAAGTTGGGCTTGAGCTTGGCCAAGCTATCGGGCCACGCGTTCCCCGAGTGGGTTTCGAAAACCTTCGGGGAACACCGAGTCGGGCGAGCTATCAGATCACGTGGTTTCCGAGCTTTCGGGCCTCCTGGAGGACGTCTTGGAGGCGTCTTGGGCCGTCTTGGAGGCCCCTGGCGGGCCTTTTGGGCAGTCGAAGGCCATCTTCAGGCCATTCGGGGCCGTCTTGGGTGCATCTTGGGGCCATCTTCGCTGTCTTGGAGACCTTCTTGGCCGTCTTTGAGGCATCTTGGGGACTACCTTGGCCGTCTTGGAGGCCATCTTAGGCGTCTCGGGGGCCTCTTGGGCCGTCTTGGGGCCTTGTTGGGGCCCCCTTGGGGGCCTCTTGAGCTGTCATGGGGCCATCTTGGATGCCTCTGGGGCGCTCTTGGGTCGATGTTGGGGGCCTCTTGGGCTGTCTTGGGCCGTCGGGGAGCTGAAAAGAAGAATATGCCCAAATCCTTCAAATACCATGAGCCAATCGATCATTTTGGCCCTTTCAGGCCTTTCTGGAGGACGTCTTGGAGGGCTCTTGGGCCGTCTTGGGCTATCTTCAGACCGTCTGGGGCCGTCTTGGGTGCATCTTGGGGCCATCTTCGCTGTCTTGGAGGCCTTCTTGGCCGTCTTGGAGGCATCTTGGAGACCATCTTGGCCGTCTTGGAGGCCATCTTGGGCGTCTTGGGGGCCTCTTGGGCCGTCTTGGGGCCTTGTTGGGGCCCTCTTGGCCTCTTGGGCTGTCATGGGGCCATCTTGGAGGCCTCTTGGGCGCTCTTGGGTCGATGTTGGGGGCCTCTTGGGCTGTCTTGGGCCGTCCTTGGGCCGTCGGAGAGCTGAAAAGAAGAACATGCCCAAATCCCATGAGACAATCAATGATTTTGGCCCTTTCAGGCCTTTCTGGAGGACGTCTTGGAGGGCTCTCGGGCCGTCTTAGGCCATCTTCAGGCCATCTGGGGCCGTCTTGAGAGCATCTTCGGGCCACCTTAGCCGTCTTGACGGTCATCTTGGGTGTCTTGGAGGCATCTTCGAGGCCATCCTGGCCGTCTTGGAGGCCATCTGGGGCTTCATGGGGACCTCTTGGACTGTCTTGGGGCCTTCTTGGGGCCCTCTTGGGGGCCTCTTGGGCTGTCATGGGGCCATCTTGGAGGCCTCTTGGGCGCTCTTGGGCCGATGTTGGGGGCCGCTTGGGCTGTCTTGGGCCGTCGGGGAGCTGAACAGGTGCAAAAGCCAAAATCCTTCAACACCGAAGGGAAATCAATGATTTTAACCATGTCGGGCCTTCCTGGAGGACGTCTTGGAGGCGTCTTGGGCCGTCTTGGAGGCCTCTGGCGGGCCTTTTGGGCAGTCGAAGGTCATCTTCAGGCCATTTGGGGCCGTCTTGGGTACATCTTGGGGCCATCTTG